AACTTGATGAAACCCCTTTGCAACTAGTCTGGCTTTATACTTAAGGATAGATCCATCAGGATTTTGTTTGATCCTGGAGACCCATTTGCATCCTATTGCCTTTCTGCCAGGAGGAAGAGTAGTGAGAGTCCATGTTTGATTATGTAACAGGGCATTGTACTCAATAGTCATGGCCTCTAACCATTTGGGATCTTTGAGAGCCATTTTATAGGAAGTAGGTTCTAGTTCAGTTAAGAGAAGAGTAGGATGAATCATTGGCTGGACAATACCAGCCTTGGATCTAGTGATCATAGAATGAGTGTTTTGAGGGAAAATAGGATGAACAGACAAATGTTCAAAGCTAGAGGCTGATGATGGACTTGTTGATGAAGAGCGAAGAAGAGTTTTGGACATTGAGGTTTGAGGAGATACTTGTGAAATAGGTGAGTGGGACACAAATGTGGAAATGTTGATAGATATTGCAGTTAGAGGAATAGGTTGAGGCAAATTAGAAGGAGATGATTGTGTAAATGAGATACGTGTAGAGAAGGAAAGAGGAACTGGGACAGAGGAAGTAGATAAAGGAGGGGTTGAGGTTGCAACTTTGAACAGGGTATTCATATATGGAAACCTGGATTCATTGAAAACAACATCCTTAGATATATAGACCCTTCCATCAAAAGCCATGCACTTGTAACCTTTGTGATGTGGAGAAAATCCAAGAAATACACATTTCTTGGTATGGAAGTTAAATTTGTGAGGGTTGTATGGTCTGAGATAGGGAAAACAAGCACATCCAAATGCTCTAAGTATCATATAATCAGGTGCAGCATTATAGAGCAAATGGTAGGGAGATTTCATAGACAGAACAGGAGTAGGCATCCTGTTAATAAGAAAGGTTGCTGCTTGAAAAGCATAGTCCCAGAATTTGAGAGGTAGAGATGCTTGTGCCAACCGTGTGAGTCCTGTTTCCACAACATGTCTATGCTTCCTCTCAACGGCACCATTTTGATGGTGAGTGTGAGGACAAGTAAATCTATGAGTGATGCCTTGTGCAGCCAGAATAGAAGTGAGAGGTTGAAACTCTTCACCTCCATCAGTTTGTAAGGCTTTGAGTGTGTGCTTAAATTGTGTTGCAATGTGAGCCAAGAATAACTTGAAGATAGACGTTACCTCAGATTTGTGAGTCATTAAAAATACCCAAGTAAACTTGTTAAAGGCATCAACAACAGTGAGCATGTATTTGTATCCAGCATCAAATGATACTGGTGAAGGACCCCACACATCTGCATAAAGCAATTCAAAAGGAGCATGGTATTGTGTAGTGGATGTGTGTGAAGGTAATCTCTGCACTTTTCCCAAACAACAAGCAGAAGAGAAATCAAATTGAGATTTAACTGGTACATGAACATTACAATTTGTAAGAACAGTTTTGAGGACCTCATGATGAGGATGCTCCAACCCGTTATGCCACTGTGAACACAGAGAAGTCCTAGTCCAGACATGTTATTTCTACTAGTAGTTAAGGAAACAGTAGGTACATGAAGATTGGTGTGTGTGTGTGTGTGTGCACATTCAGTGATTTATTGGTGGAGCTGGTAGTAGGTGTGAGATTGCCGAAAGTATAGAGCCCATCCTTCCCAAGAGTGTCTTGCAGTAGAACCTCAGAAGTAGCCTAAGATTTGACATTACAGTGATTAGGATGAAACTCAAAAAATACTTTGTTGTCTCTTGCAAACTGACTCACTGATATCAGATTCTTTGTAATTTGAGGTACTAATAAGAGATTATTTAAGGCAAGTGTAACATGTGGTTTGTGTGCAGATGTGAAGGAAGTGTTACCAACTGATGTAATTGACAGACCTTGGCCATTGCCAAGCATAACTTGGTCTGAGCCAGAGGTGGGGATGCTATCCAAAAAATGATCTGCAGAGTTGGTGACATGGTGAGTTGCTCCTGAATCTGCATACCACTGATTGTTGCCAGCTAAAGAGTTAATATTTGTGCCTGCAAGAAAGGCTTGAGGTTGCTTGGTACCAGATGCAGAGCTAGAAGGCGTAGCAATGAATCCTTGCGCAGGACCACGCCATTGAGTGGGAGGCATCCACTGATGAGGCATTTTTACCGAAGGATTATCTTGAAAGTAGGGCACAGCAAAATTAGCCATTGGTACTGGAGCTACAGCTGGAGCACGCCATTGCTGAGATCCAGATCCAGCAACTAAAAGTCTGAAGTAGCAAACCTTTGCATCATGTCCAATTTTAGCACAAATCTGACATTGCACCTTGGATCTACCACTGTTTCAACCACCACCGCGTGCGAACCGGCCACCACGACCACCGCGATTGCCGTGAAACTGAGTTTGCGCCGTCGCATCTGAAATTGTGGACGATTGCGCTTCTGATGATGATTGCGAGACAGATCCTTGCGTCAGGTTAACTGTTAGGGCATCGTGTGTAGCTACACGTGTAAATCTTTCTAAACGAGCTTCATGAGAGAGAAGCATTGTCTCTGCAACTACAATTTCACATGGTTGGTCACGATACTGAATAATGGACGCTAGGGTTTGGTATTCTTGAGGCAATTCATCCACGATAGTCTCAAGGTGATCACAATGTGAAACTGGATCACCAATGGATTCAAGAATATCAACAATTTGTTGAATTCGCCCTAGGTACTGAGCAATGGTTTTGTCACCTTTCTCCATGGTACGCAACTCAAACCGTAACTGACGAGACTTAGCATAAACTTGAGTCCTCTGAATTTGATCAATTACATTCCATACCTCATGAGCATGAACACACCTCACAACACGAGGAAGAACAACATCAGAGAGAGTAGTGAGAAGCCAAGTAAAGAGGAGAGAATCCTCTTGCTGCCACTGCACATATGCAGGATTTTCCAGATCTGAGGCACGATCGTTGGTAGAGAGATATCTAGGAGGAATATTAGGATTTGCAACGTGACGATGAAGTTTGTGAATGCGAATTATACCTTCTACTTGCTGCTTCCAAGAGAGGAAGTTGTTGTTATCAAGCTTGATGGTGATGTGTTGCCCAAACGTTTTGAACGCATTCTTCAGATTTGAAGCTATTGCGTTGGATGTTGCAGAAGACGGTGTACTACTTCCCGGAGTTGGAGGATCCGTGAAGAATGGTGGAGGATCAGAGACGGAAGCCATGGTTGTGATGAATCACAAGCTCATGATACCATAATAGAGTTTTGGAAGAGAAGCATATTCAAGGAGAAGTAGTTTGTATTGATTAACTCTCCAATGAATTGATATGCTGTTATGCTTTATATAGACAGCTTTGCATAACAGAAAAGTACAGTTCAGCATAACTAACTCTAACAGTTAGTTATGACTGATAACAGTTTTAGATTAAATGCTGCCAGGTCAGCATTTCTAAACTATTCTAATCTATTGCTTACACTCTAATATATATAACCATGGGTTTAAGTTTATATTCTCTCATCAATTTTTTTAATTAAAATAAGGTTTGTTCTTTATTTTTATCTTTCCCTGGCAGAGTGCAGTACACCTAAAGAAAGAAAAGAGAGAAATTTGCAAACAGAATATTTAGTGATGGCAGGAGTGGTGAGATGGGAGGGTGGCAGAAATAGTCATGAAGAGTGAGATTTATTTAAGTTATTTATACAAATAATAATTAATATGTGGAAATGGTATCGTAATGCAGTTTGATATGAGCAGTGTGAAAAAAATCACTTAATTTACATGTGATACTGACACAAAAAGAACAAATTCTTGTAAAACTTATGGACATCCTGCAGTATAATGACACCATTGAAACCAATGGTTATTCAAAAAAGTTAATGAAATATGATTTGAATAATATCCAAATGTGTATGAGAAACAAATGACAAACACCTACTTTTAATATACTAATGTAGGTTGATTTTTAGAGTAGTGCAACTGTTGAAAGGTTATAACAACATGTCAACTGATATAATAAGAATACTAAAACTTCAAGAAGCCTAATATTCGAACATAAATGTGGATATCAACTTAATTTACATATAATACTCCCTTTCTTACTTTGTACTTGTCACTTTTGTAACATAAATGTTGTCATCAAGTTAATTTACATATAATGCTCCCATTGTTCCCTTTTACATGTCACTTTAGTCAAAAAAATTGTTCATATTTACTTGTAGTTTTCAAAGCTCATCAAGTCTTTAATTACTGTTTTGACAATAATAGTCTGAAGTATTTACTACAGATAACGAAATTGGTGAAATGAGATAATGAATGGTTTAAGGTAATAATGGAAGGAAAAAAAACAAATAATTCCACCCAAAAAAGAACAAAATAAATTAGTTTTCTTGGTATGTGTAAATAACAGTAAAACAACAACTAAAAAGGAACTGAGATTATAAACATAATGCCAACAAAGAGGCCTAAATTAAGTGATGCTTATTTGCGTTGCAAACATTGTAATCTTTAGAGAAATATCCTTTTGGTTTGGTGGGGATGTTCCTTTAGGGTGTGAGTCCAATCAATAATGTAGGCTAAGCATAAGGATCATGTCTCAGACTCTCAGTTGTGTATTGCTTGAATCCTTGAAACTAAGCTCGGTCTTTCTTTGCATTGCGAAACTTTGACACATGTGTTTAGTTTAGTCCTAATTTTACATCAATGAATTGTTTTGCTTAAGAACAACTAATGCACTTCCCTGAAGAAACCACTCAAGATGCAAACAAGAGTACATAACCTCGTCTCAACTAACACTCAGCCAAAAAATTCAATTGGCTTTCATATGTCAAGAAATTTGAAGTGAATTTCAATTGAATATGATTTGTGTTTATGTTTTTCTCTCTATCAAGAAATTTGACCTAAAACTCATAGCAAAGTTTCCAACGCAAAATCTAACTCTGTATTGCTTCTAGCTACAATTAGGTTTAGAAGCAAAATTAATTCTACTTCAAAAAACAGAAACCTAAAAAAAAAATCAAAATTCAAAACTTTGAATCAAAGTAATTAAGAGGAGTGAGAGAGTTACCGGGATAGTGCTTCCCGACGATGCGGAGAATACGAGCGCCGCTCTTGTCGGAGCCTTGGAGAGTAATGAATTGTAACTGTTCTAGATCGGAGAAGTCTTCGTCGGGGGAAAGGTACTGAGAACAATCGTGCCAACTCTCTTCTTCTTGTTGTTGTTCTGCGTCGTGGAAAAGGAATGGTCGAGCATCTACGGCGAAATCGGAAGCTAAGACTACCACGGAAAAATCCTCCGGTGTGCTACCCATCGCCGCCTTTGCTCTTTCTCTCTGTAATCGCAGTGCGCACGTGAGTGAGTATTGATTTTGCTTAGAGGTTTTCCTGAAAATGCAATTGCTGTGCACGTGAGTGAGTATTGATTTTGCTTAGAGGTTTTCCTCAAAATTTTACTAGTCTTTGGACTGAAAAATAGAAAACAACTGCAATATTCATATCATATGGATCTATTTTGATATAAGATTTTTAAAGAATTTTTAAATATTTTTTATAAGAATTAACTAAGATAATTATTTCATTAATTAAGATCATTAACTAACTAAGATATTTATGTGATATGTATTGGAATGATATTTTGATATTTAATTAAAATTTTATAAAATATAAATAAAATTGGTTGATATTCAATTAAGATTTAATATAACTTATAAAAAAATCTTTTGATATCAAAAGGTATATAGTTTTTAAGAGATTATCTTGAATAATGAATTCTTGTGTGCTTATTTGGAAATTTGATAAACAAAGTAAATTTTTATTAATATTTAATAGATTAAACTCAAAAATTTCACAGAACATATTTGCAAGCATTTAAAACATTGAACAACGTCGTATTGTTGAAATCGAAAGATGATATTTGAAAAAGTAACTATGTACTTGTGAGCAAGGATTAGAACACGAGGTTTTGAAAATGAAAGTAACTGGAAAAGAAATGCAAGACGAAATAAAATAACAAGAATTATAATCCGAAATCGAAATGTAACTTAATGCAAGAAAAAGACTTGAATGTAAAAATGCTTGAAATTTATAAATGGTGGAACACATACGTACATTTTCTTCACTCATTTCTCAAATACGCAGATACTTTGAGTTTATAGAAATATGAGTACAATTATGGAGCCTTTATAATATGAACATGAGTCACTTTATATACTACTCTAAAATAACTACCTAAGAACGGCCGACTAACCCCATCACGACACGTTTCTGTCCCATGCAGATGTTTCCTCCAACGAGTTTCCACATGTCTTCAAGTAACCATTTGTGTCAAATCAATTCCCCGCTCTTTCCACACCATTCAAATATCTTAGCTACTTTTACGGGTCATCAAGAATTGACTCAACTATGTCGAAATCACTAGGATCGATAATGTTGGAACAACACACTTTGTAGTACTTTCCAAATGTAGTACCCAGTCGACATTGTTTACATTGTAATTATGAACTCCAACCTTAACCAACATAGCATAATAATCAATCAAGTGACAACCAACCAACATACTCAAAAGTTCAACTAAGTCCCAGATTTTAACACCGTTCTTCGACTTCCAACTACTCGACTAGTGTCACCATGTATAATTTTGGACATTCATTCAACCCTTGGTTTCCATTTGATTCCACTGAATTTCAACTCTTTGCACATTTATCATTCTTTACTTTCCATTTATAGTTGAGTCAAAAAATTCAAGGTAACATTGAATAAAGAATTTTTTGAAATGATGCAGAAAGAATTCGAGTCTTAATGATCGGGGGAGCTTCGATACTTCCTAGGATTTCAAATTCATCAAACTAAGGAAGGAATTTTCATCAATCAAGCCAAATATTACAAAGAATTACTAAAGAGATTTGACATGAAGTCCAAAATGATAGAAACTCCAATGTCAACATCATGCAACCTCGACAATGACGAAAATGTAAAACTAATTGAGGAAAGAAAATACAGGGGTATGATAGGATCTCTTATTTATTTCACTGCATCTCGTCCTGATATCATGTTTGATGTATGTCTTTGTGCTCGCTTTCAAGCATCTTCGAAAGAATCACATCTCATTGCAGTCAAACGCATCATGAAATATATCACTGACACACAACAAATGGGTCTATAGTACCTATTATTACATATGATTGGCAACATTCACTACTACAAATAACTTCATTTCACCTCGGACACGAAAGGGATATAACCTCGGTTACACAAGCGAGGTAACGAATGGCGTCATAAATGGTCATAGGTTCGATCCCCAGCAATATAATATTTATATTTTCAAAACTACTGCCATATATACCTCTCGGTTTTTGTCAAAAACCTAAGGGAAAATATTTTTTTGGATATAAATTACATTTTTTACACTAAATATTAAATTAAATTGTATACATTAAATATTAAATTACATTGTTTATACAAAATGATTAAATTACACAGAATATTCAATTCAAAGTTTCTAATGTTACATTGTTTTGATTTCAATATATGTACTAGTTAAAAAATACATAGGGTGTGTGTTCTCCCTACAAGGGCGGGGAAACTCAAAAGTCTTAGTAGGTAAATTACAATTTAGTTGGTGAGGGCTTTTCCATGGAGGCGTAAAGCCTTATATGGTGTTTTTTGATGTTACCTGAGGGACCAACTCACGTGAGGTGAAAGGCCCTGTATGGTGGTCGGCGCTGGTAGAGTGGAGGTGGACAATTGGGTTCTTAAGGTATTAGAGCTATTAGGAGTTTGATGCTCTCTCAATAGTGGGCAGTATATGTGAGTGAAAGTTAGTCTTTTCTCCTTTTAGGGAGGGTGTATTTATAGAGCCCTCGTGGGCCTAGGGTTTTCTTGAAAAATATCGTTGTTCGCCTAGTCAAAGGTGGATTATTGAATTCATATTTCCAAGGGTGTTATGGGTTAGTTAATGACATTGATTTTCCCTCAATCCAAAACATGTATCATCCCACATTTTCTTGAGTGGACAAGGAAGATTTGGGGTGAGGTGATACCTCCCCTTAAGGTCGCCCCCTTCTCTTAGGGTGATGAGGCAAGGTCTTTTGCAAACATAACACTACATAGTCCATCAGGCACGAGACCATTGACAGACGAAGAAATTTTTATCACATCCGGGAAATAGGAGTATCCCGAGTGGTGGTACTTTCCCTTGAGACACTTTAATTGTCCTTTGAGAATTAAAAACCTGAGCACAATACTTAATGACCTAGCTAACAAGGCGCTGAGTGTAACAACCTACTTCCCGACTCGACAATTAAATAAACAAAACATGTATAACATAAATATCTTCCAAGTAGCATGTTACTCAACAGCAAAGACAGATTCATGAACCATATAACTAAAGGTTAAATCATTTAAAAAGTAGAGGAATTGATCTTGACAGTTGATCAGAACCTGAAGTAGGCCAGAGACTTCGTTTGCAATGTTGGAATCAAGGAGGAGGGTTGTACCTGCAAAGCACTCCGATGTTAAAGTAAGAATCGGGAGATGAGAAGGAAAGTACAAAGTAAGTGTTTCTTAGGATGATTATTAGATACCTGGCCCTCTCAATGGAGAGGGATTTTATAGTGCCTGCGGCGCTTGGTCATTGGTCCCTATAAGCTAACCACGGTCAAAACGGAAGGGAAAATTTTAGAGTGATACAGCTGCGCCTATTCAAAACGGAACGGCTTTCAAACACTCAAGGTGCACGGAGATTGAATACCAAGAGAACCCGGAAATTTGCAAATTATGGGGATAAAACGATAGCGAATACCAACCAAAAGTTGGAATAGCAAACAGATATCAGATACCAACCAAAAGTTAGGATAACGAGAAATAACAAAATAAGTTGATCAAAAGATACCAACCAAAAGTTGGAATATAAACTCCAAGACCACCAACCAAAAGTTGGGATGAACTAAAGGATACCAATAAAAAGTTGGGATGAACCAAAGGATACCAATAAAAAGTTGGGATGAATAGATAATACTAACCAAAAGTTGGAATAAAGGCTACTAACTAAAAGTTAAGATTACCGGAACACTGACCAAAGTTAACCCTATAGGGTCAAACATCAACCAAAGATACTAACCAAAAGTTGGGATAACAACAACAGGTACCAACCAAAAGTTGGGATGAAACCAGCGGATACCAACCAAGAGTTAGGATAAACAACCAAAGTACAAACCAAGAGTTGGGATAAAAGGCTACTAGCAAAAAGTTAGGACCACCAGAACACCGACCACAGGCGATCTTGTGGGGAAAAATACCAACCAAAATTTGCGATGGAGGAAAATTTACCAAGAAAATTGTGACTTTACTAAGAAGGATACCAACCAAAAGTTGGAATAAAACCAAGATTACCAACTAAAAGTTAGAATGAAACAAAGACTACCAACCAAGAGTTGGAATACCAACCAAAAGTTGGGATAAAACAAGAGAATACCAACCAAAAGTTGGAATAAGGGCTACTAACAAAAAGTTAGGATCGTCAGAACATTGAACAAAGCTGAATCCATAAATGAAGACTACCAATCAAAAGTTGGGATGACGACTTCGCGGGGAGAATACTAACCAAAAGTTGGGATAACAACGAAAGGTACCAACCAAGAGTTGGGATGATCAACAGAAAGGGTACTAACCAAAAGTTAGAATAACCACACGGGATACCAACCAAAAGTTGGGATACAGCCCACAAAAGATATCAACCAAAAGTTGGAATAACAACGAGTACTAACTAAAAGTTAGGATAATCGAGATGTTGACCAAAGGCGAATTCATGACGAAAGATACCAACCAAAAGTTGGGATAAAAGGCTACTAACCAAAAGTTAGGATCACCGCCAGGGACACCAACCAAAAGTTGGAATACGGCCCACCAAAGATACCAACCAAAAGTTGAGATAACATCCAAGATAAACAAGAAGTAGAATCAACCAACTTGCAACCTGAAAAGAAGACTCTGCTGGGGAAAGAGAAGTTTAAACAAACAAACTCTGCTAGGGAATACAAGTAAGATGAACACATGTATCAATGATTTCTGTTGGGGATAAAATAGCATAAAATCTCCTGAGTCATGCCATCATCTGCTAAAGAAATGACCGGCAACAAAGACATCAAACCTTGTTTATGCTTCGGATGCATATGTTTGAAAACGGCGTAATGCTCCATACAAAATGGAAATGCTACACACTTGGGAGGATGCAATGCAAAAATGCAAATGCAAAAGACCACCACTGGGAGAAGCATTGAGAAGACCAGTAAACAAACTCTGATGAGGAAACCAT